GATAAAGTAGTGCACAGACAAGCCCTGGCCCCGTCCCTTTGTTTTCGCTGCCGTTGTTTCAGCCAGGCACGTGCTCAAGCAATATCAGCGTGACTTGATACAACCAGGAGGCAACGCTGATGTGTTTGGAGCTACGCAGACGTCCCAAGGTATTTCACAATGTGGGTGCTGTTTCACACCCAGCCACCGAATGTGGAACATGAGACGTGGATTTGGGTCCTCTAAGGTTCCTCTGCTCAGGCCAGGGTCCAGCACAACAACAACCTCTTACACATTTTGTTTGACTGCTGTCCTATAGCATCCTATAGGCCTTGCTGACCCCGTGCGTGGGCTGACCCCAAAGCTTCTACGTCCCTCAGCCATTTTCAGGGTGCATCCACGGCTCTTTGGGCTGGAATTGCCATATGGTCCTCTGACATGTGGCTTGATCTCAAAACTGCAGAAGAGGGGCTTTCCTTCAGAGACTGCATGGAGATGGTCTGAGCTGCCAGCAGCCACCCTAAAAGCCCAGCTCCCCACTTCAGGCACCAAGCAACTGCTGTTGCTGTGAGAAGATATTTTCGTGTAATCAAATGGGAAAACAAAGGAACAAACAAACAAAAAATCCCTATGGGTTCTCCTTCACAATAGCACTCGTGGTGCACCTGCTCTTGGGTGGGGAAGTTATTTTTCATTAGCTGCTAAGCTGACACATCCAGCGGATTGATGAGGTTAGATAAAACGAGGAACAGATCTTGAGAGACGCACTCCTGAGGCAAATCCCAGCCCTGTCCAGGCCAGGGCAGACCCCTTGCTCGGAGGGTATGAGCACAGACAAGATCAGTCAAGGGAAATCTCTTCTGACATCGCTTGGACGTAGCCCGCTCCTGGCCTCCAGGCCGTGAGAAACATTTTCTGCTGATGTTTAGGGCACATCGGGACGATAACTAACTGCACACCACCCTGGCTGCCCTGCGTTGCCCAGCCTAAAAGTTTCTGGCAACATTTTGCTGAGAAGCTCTTGCATTGCTGCTGCTCACATACGGGCTTAGAAATTCGGCAGGAACAAAGCGGAGGGGGCAGAAACGTGCTTTGTCTTTCTTCCTTTTGCTGCCACTTGATGTTTTTGGCTGAGATAAAAGCTCTTTTGGTAAATATTCATATCTTCATTCCGTGCTTTGGCAAACTGGGCAGACTGCATTATTTGCTGATGCTTCATGCAAGGAGTGGTAGGACCCAGATCTTCTTGGATGTGACAACCAGCAAGCGTCTTCATCAGCGAACGAGTACAAGATGGTGCTGTTTTGATGTGCAATTAAGTTACTGTTGATCTAGTCACAGCAAAGAGCTTTGAACTGAGTAGATCTCACTGCTTGAAGCAAATGGGGAAATAAAAACAAACAGGTATGCATCTGAGACAGTTTTCCAACAGACAAACTGATGAAGTGAGGTGATGCTGGCCAGCAAAGGTGGCTTGGGTGGAGAAGGTGCGGGCTGGAGCACGGGGCAGCCGGGAGGACCTGGAGCACCCTGCCTGCCCGCTGCAAGGCACAGGGGTGGGAGAGAGGGCCTGATCAGCAAATAAAGCAATCATTCAGAGGCCAAGAAATGCAGGTTTACAGTGGGGACAGTCAAAAGTAAACCTGAGCTGGAACTTGCAAAGTATTCCAAAGAAAACGGGGAAAGCTTCAAACACGAATGTAAGAGAAAAGCAGAGTCAGGCTGCTGTGCAGTAAATGAGATTAAAGATAATCTAGGCATGGCCTAAAATCAAAGGAGTATTTTACCTCTGCTCTCATTTTTGGAAGACAAATCCTAGGGGCAAAAGCAGGCTGGTTAATGGGAACAAGGATATGGAAATGGAACTGCTACCATGGGGGAAGCAGCGCTCCCAGCACGGCTGCATTGCTCCTGGGGAGGGAAGAGACTCTGGAAAGACCAGAGTCAAAGGTGGCACATCCAACAGCAACCGTTTTGGTAGATGTGAGGGACCATGTGATGGCGGGACATCTTTTACAACACGTTTGCTTGTGTGGGGTTAAAAAATAATCCATCCAGCTGCAGTCCTTGTAGCTCTGACCTCACCGGTATGCAAGGCTTTGGAACATGCCTGGCAGGTTCATTAAAAATGCAAAGGCACATCAAAAAATGGGATAAAATGCAACCAGAGGTACATCGTGCCAGACTGACTCGATGGCTCTCTTTGATAACACAATTATTTTTCCAGACAGTTGATATCTGCCAGATTTCCTTTATCTGGGCTACTTTAATGTATTTGGTATGACGTCAAGTGTGAAACTACCGATGTTGCTGGATACAAAATAGGTGAGTGGAGGGATTGCCTGGTTGCAAAGAAGAGGAGACAACGAGCATGGAGGGTGGAAATGCCAGGCTAGAAGCTACATGGCAGTGTTTTTTGAATAGGTTTGGGAGCAATTTTGATTTAACATTTCCATTAATGGCATGCTCCTGGCCCACGTGAGCACCGTGCTGATGAAATGTGCCAGCACACGGCTGTGACGCGTGGTGGATACGGAGGTGGTTTGGAGGCCAGGCAGGACGAATGGGACACGTCGAGAGTGGCCGTAATAAAAGGAGGATGACATTCAAGTAAAAGACAAAAAGTCACACAGGTGAAGCCTGGTGTCAGAGGCGGCTTTTGCTATTAACAGGGAGTGAATCAATCGGGGAAAACACTGAGGAGAAAGAAAAACCAGCATTAGACAGTCATAGAATCACGTGCTGCCGGCTTGATCTTTACATTGCATCTATTTCCAGATGAGACGAGGAAATATTAGTACCAACTATACATCTTCCCTCTTCCCTTTCTTCGGGAAAGGTGCCTGAGCAGCTGCAGGGGGAAAAGCAGGGGACCTCTCTGCAGGAGGACGCAGGGAGGTCCTGGCTGCTGCTGTGCTGAAATTTATTTTGTTTTCTTTGGCTCAGGAGCACGAGCAGCCCCTGAGGCAAGTGGTGGAGGCAGCGGAGGGTCAAGCAGGGAGAAGCGGGAAGCACCGGGCTGGGCACAGCTCGGCGGTGCCAAACGGCTTCGCCCCCACTCCTGGGAGCTGCTGGCGCTCCCGCCCGCAGTGCCAGCTCTAACCACAGCTCCCGGTGAGGGGAGGCTGCAGATGTGTGCAATCAGGTTTTGTTTTAATATATTTTTTTCCTTATAGCCTGGAAAAACATCTTTAAAATGAATACAGAAAGCTACTTGGTAGCCAGAGCAATACACTATGGATTGCTCAGCCTGGTGAGCAGAAGAGGAGTTCTTCTGCATGTGTGGTGGAAAAGGGAATTTGCAGGAGAGCCCCAGATTCAGCCTTAACAAACAGGTAGGAGCAGAGTCAGAGCCCCTGGCTATGCCTCGAGCCAGCCAGACATGAAGCAACCCCAGCCTGGGAGTGGTATTGCCCTGTTTGTTGGAGCAGCCCTGTCTGAGAGGGGCTGTTGCTGGGGGCTATCAGATAAGACCCAGCAAGTTGCTAAGAAGTGGCTTCCAGCCGAAGTTTGCCTCCCAAATATTCAGCTCAGCAAGGGGAGCAAAGGTGCTTGCGTCTGTGTGAAGCAGGCTGCAGAGCTGACCCCTTTACGTTTCTGAATGTCTTTGGCTTTCCTAGGAACTAATGTTGCCTCCATCATTGCTACCTTCCTATTGAGAGGGGAGGGAGGAAAGGAGGGAAGAGAGAGTGTTAGAGAAAAGAAAATAAGAAAAAGAAGAGCTGGATGCCCACACTAAACCACAAGAATGAGAAGTGGAGGCTCGTGGAAGTTGTGTAAGACCAGCACGGTGTTTGCAGGTTTGGAAACACATCCAGGAGGGCTCGATCCTCTCGCGAGGGCGACCCGGAGCAGAGCAGGACTGTCCCACAGGGGCAGCGTATCGATAGATGTGCTGGTGTTGAGAAGCTAAGTCAATTACAATTATTAAACTGATTATTCATATTCTATTCTGTTCGCTGTGGGCAGATACTCCTTTTGGGGTTAGGTTTATGGGCCTTACAGACTGTCGGAGTGAAGCTAATTAGCAAGAGCAATCCAAATGGAACAACGACTGGTAATTGTTGCTAATGATGCAAGCACGTTACAGCAGCTAAAACGAAATCTTGGGTTGTGAGCAGCTCTGAAAGGCAAACAAACATCCACAGTTGTGTATGGAGGTTGTATGCACACCCACCTCGCTGCTAGGGGTGGGTTAGCTGAGCTCCCGTCTCTGAAAGAGCAGTTATTTGCCAAATGCTTCCCAGTGGTCAATGGAAGAAAACGCTACAGGAAATGAAAGACCTGGGGAGTTGTGGTGGGAGAGGCAGGCAGGGCGGGCAGGGAGCTGCAGCACAAGGCGCTGCCAAAGCCCTGGACAAACGCGGCAGCCCTGGAACCGGCACACGGGCTGAAAGCCATTCCCTGCTTTGCTTTCACCAAGGCAAACCTCAGCTGCCTCCAGAGCCGACTGAAAAAAACAGGGTCCCTTTGACTTGCACAGGCTCTGGATTGTGCCTCCGTGCAGGTGCAGGGCCTGGAGCCTGGGAGCCAGACCATGGCGGGCTCCACAGCTGCTCGGTGCCGCTCTTGGCACACGTCTCCTGCTCCACCGAGCAAGCACGGGGCGGGACGCCGTCCAAATAGTTTGGATTAAGTTTGGATCCTGAATTATGCAACGCACGAACACACACAAAAAACCTAGTTTGTTGCTTCTGCCACCGGTGGTGGGCATGCGGGCCCTCCCTCGCCCTGCTGCCAGCCCTGCCTCTGAGGATGGTAGTGGAAGGGCCTGATCCCCAGCCTGCCTCTCTGTTTTTGTTTGCAGACCCCAAATCAGAGTGCTGATGGCCACGGTGCTCAGTTTGTGAAAACTGCCCTGCTGAAACTGCTAGCGGAGCTGGGACAACTCATAGCAATCGTGGATTTGGCCCAGCGCTGAGGTTTGGTTCTTACATGGGATGGCCCTGGTCCTGTGCCTCGTTTCTCTCTTTTTAGACTTTAAATGTTTTGGATGCATCTTCAGTTCAAGGCCTATTCCTCGGAGGTTTTTCAGTAGGATGGGTTTTGGACTTGTATAGGAAAGCTGTGGGGAAAAGTGGTTGAACTGTGTCATTTTGTTTTTTTAGAGGTTAAACACAAGTTAGCTGTGTTTTTTTTGGTTGGTTGGTTGGATGGCTGTTTTTTTGGTAATAACTGTGAATGTAAATTGTCACGAGATACTCTGGACAGTTGTTCTACTTATCTGTCTTTCCAAATGTGTGTGGGCACTGCACTTGATACAGGAGATAATTGTAGGAGATACTTGATGCAAAACTCCCCTTTACGTTACATTTTCTATGGGATAAAAGAGGAGTGTTATAACAGCCAAGGGTGGGCAGGAAAGAGTAAGGAGAAATGTGAGAGTAAGAGTTTTGAGACCGTGACTGTGTCCCGTGGCCCCCAGCACAAGAGAGACTTGGATGTACTGGAAAGAGTGTTATGGAGGGCCACCAAGATGATGAAGGGCCTGGAGCACCTCTCCTGTGAGGAGAGGCTGAGAGAGCTGGGGCTGTTCAGCCTGGAGAAGAGGAGGCTCAGGGGGAAGTTAGCAGTTGTAGATCTTAAATAAACGCCAACAAAATGGCTGGCAAAATCTAACCTAGATTCTTTTGATTGAAATAACATTTAAGAGTGATCTGAGATAACTGATTTCTTCTTTTTCTTTTTTCCTTCAAATTTCAAACTTCAAATTTCAATCTGATTTTTCAATTATTTTTTAATAGTTTTAGCAGAATTTTTTAAAATCTGGGGGAAAGAAACCTCTCTTCTGCATAGTCCCCCTCTTCCTGATGCAGGCTTTGAGTCAATACGAGTTCATCAAAAGGCACTCAGTTTTTCCAAGGACTTGTAAAATTAAACATGATAAAGCTGTGAAAGTAATCAGTATGTGTAATGTATTTTGAGGACTTTATTTATTTATTTATTTATTTATTTTTTCCAGTGACTGGCATGAAACATTTTTTCATATATTCAAATTCATACCTAGAAATGCACTTTCCACAGTTAAAAGTGTCACAAGAACTTCATTTTTATCTGTTAAAAATAATTATGGGATTTGACTTTTTCTATGCTTTTATTTCTACAGGAGTATAAATGGTGATTTCTTTTATTACTCTTTGCTATTCAGATATGTCAAGGAATTTCAAAGAAAAACAAAACTTTGCCACTGAAAACAAAATTCCTGCACTACCAGGTAACCTTTTTTTATTTTATTTTTTATATATTTTTTTAAACATTGAGTGAATTGTTTCTTTGGAAATGATTTGAATAAGAGAATGCATAAAAACAAAACTTCCATTTTTGGAGATATTCAAAACTCACTTGAACAAGGCACTGAGGAGCCTGAACTAATGCAGGAACTGGTCCTGTGCTGAGCAAGAAGTTGGACAATATGAGCTCTAGAGGTCTTTTCTGACCCATCCTATTCCACATTACTAACATCGAGTTTTGTCAATTCATCATTTTTAGGCTATTCATTCTACTCTTATTTTAATCTAGAGTTCTTCCAGACCCAAACACATTTTTTATCAAAACCTGAGTCAGAATTCATTCATCTCTTCATATTATAAGTTACAATAAATAAATGTTACCTTCAGCCAGAAGGATCCAAAATTGTAGAGGCCTCTTGGTGTCTCCTTAAGAAGAGTGAACAAGTGCTCAAGAGGAGTCTCATGACCTAGGCTAGCACTGCCAGTTAAGCTCAGAGATATGGCCAGGCTCCAGAAGGTCTCCTATATTACAGCAAAAATTCTTTACCAGAAAAACTAAACATGCTGAAAGGCGCCAATAACACCCACCCAGAGCACAAAGTATTTTGCTAATTCACTTCCAACTATTGCGTAAGAACAGAACCAGTAAGATAACTTTCAGAATATTACGATCTAGTTGTTATTATTTTTTAACAGCTTCAAAATACTCAATATACTAAAAAAAAACTTATGTCTTATTACCGAATAAATAAGTCTCACTACATTTAACTAAAATTGCCTGACGTTTTAAATGCAGTTTTGCAGACAAACCGTGACACAAGTTTCTCACACGCATGCATTGAAATTATCAGTCCACGGGGTGGTAAAACATAGCAGCAGGGGTTGTGTATGGACACCCCAGTACTGTGCTGGCTCATGCTTTTTGCAGGAACGCAAGGGACACTGACACACATCACACAGTGTCCTGAAAGCAGCTGAGAAGAACATAAATCTTATTTATTCTAGAATCTGAGAACCTGCAAATGTGGTTTGTGGTTTACATACCTAACAGCCAAGAGTGGCTGTCAGTAGCACAAAGGCTTCTGAGCAGCTCCTCAGAAGCTTAAAAGGCAAAAATGGCAATTGCATTTATTGATTGGAATGGCATCATCGCTTTTCTCCTTGATTTGCATTTAGGCTGTTCCAAGGTGTTTACTCTCAGTGTCCGCCCCATCCCCTTCACACAGGCTCTGTGTACAGCTTGTAGATGAGCTCCTTAAGGAGAAGTCTGCACGACTTTGGGATGTCCTCAAAGACATGTGCACTGATGGAAGGGAGGAAAGCCAGCCACAGGGACAGACCTGCTCCACTGAGTGCCATGCACAAAACCTGCAAGTATTTTGCATCTGCCACCCGCCAGCAGCTGCAGTGCCTGCTAGCAATGGCCACTCCAGCAGCATGCAGGAATGCATGGCCTTGATGGTGTTTTGTACTGAAATCTCTGATTTGCTGAATAATACTCAATTTCCTTCAATAATGTTCTTCTTTGGTGAATTTTGTCAGATATGTTCACCTCACATTTCCAATTAGAGGAAACCCCTTCTCACAATGCAAAGCAAATAGTGTTATGCTTGTAAGTTCCCTCATAAAAATCTCTTTCAAATCTCATAGTTCCCAGTCCACCAGTTCCCTCTACTTCTTCTGTCTTTCTCTTCCCTTTTCTCCACATGACCTCTTCTCCAGTCGTTTGCTTTCCTCTGGGTTGACATTTTGTCCTGTCTGTCACTGCAGAGCTGGAGGAGGCAGCAGCAGGAACAGAAGAACCAACATCTCTCCAGGTGGAGGGATGGAGGAACACATGCTCCCATGTGCTTGTGGATGTGGAAGTGTGACGGGAGATCTGCATCAGACCAGGATAAGGTTTATGGCATCTGAATCCCTCCTCAGTCCTGACACCTAACATTTGCTGTTGGATGTCCCTTTGTTCCTGCATAAACCCAACATGCTTTAACCTAATGCAATAAACCTTGTTAAACTTATAAAATGTGATTAGCAAAGAACAAAGAATTCCTCCTACTTTCTTTATTGTGTCTAATTTATGTACTGCCTCATCCTTCCAGTGCAGGTTGATAATATTTAAAGGGCACTGAGATGTGATAATAGCATACTGCACTTGCCGATGTATTATGAAATGTATCCCATTAGCCACTTTATATCTGAAAGGCCGAAAAATTTCCACCTAGCAACAGAAAGGCATTTAGGATTAAAAAAAAATACTTGGCAGGCAGTCAGCATGTTAAACTACGCCAGGAGGAACCCAATCAGAGGTTTCTAGAGACAACAGGAGAGTACAAAAGTTGCCGTCGGTGCTGCCCATCACAGAGCCTGAAGGTAATTCAAGGCTCCATGCCCTGGAGGGGCACGAGGCAGGGTGAAGGGCAGCCCAGTGGCAGCTGTGTGCTGGGGAGGTTGCTGGGGGCTGCAGAGGAGCAGCGAGGCGGCAGTGCTCCAGCTCACCTGGTCCCCACCGTGTCATGGTCCCACTCATTGTGCAGGTGGAGGAGCTGCCACAGGGACCTTCCTCTGCTTAAAAACTGACCCACTACCAAAAATGCCCCGTGACTGATGGCGTTGGTGAGTGAGATCGAGACACTTCTGTTAAGATTTCTCATTTTCCTCCTGTATACAAAATAAACAAATAACTAAGAATGTAATGGGTGCAAGGGACCTTATCCCTGGAAGCCAGAGCAAGCAGAGAGCTTCAGTTTGGGGCACCAAGCAAGCCATGCACAAAGGACAAGAACTTTTCCCATCCTTTGTGTATATCATTAACTACTTAGAAAAGTTTTTGTTTGTTTGTTTGTTTTTTCAGTGATCTGTAATTTATCCTGAAATATAGGGTAAGCATATTGTTTACAGACATGTTTTTCCTAGGCCAGGCAAAGGCCACAGTATTTTTTTCCAAGTGCTCTGTGTTTTAACCATGCTCAAATTTCCACTCAACCCTTTTCCTTTGGAGAAGGAGCTCTCCTAACAGAAGAGGAGTGTGCAACCTGCTAACGTCCTTGTGTAGCTCAAGAGCTGAAGAGAAACAGCCAACAATACTTCATTTCCCATCAGCTGTGCCCATGCCCAGAACTGGAGATTTCAGAGGGCTGCCAAAAAAACTTCTACAGCCTTTGGTAAAACTCAGAAAATTTCTCCTGCCTCAGAAGGACATGAGCCTCAACCTCACAGTGCTACATTGCCAGAAAGTCATCCTAAAATGAGATGGAGGAGATGGAGGGATTGCTTTTCCATTTGTGAAGTGCCACTATTCTATCTGACCCCAGTGAGCAAAACGAACAAAATGAATACAAATGAGCATAGGGAATGCCTGTGACCACTCAGACTGGCTTCTGGTTCTGGAGGGAGCTGGTTTATTTATAGGATAGTTTTTTTTGTTTTTTTTTTCTGCTGCACAGTGAAGACCTTCAAAGGAAGGAGGGACAAGCTTCATCAGCCCCAGCCTTGTTAGAGAGGCAGGGGATGTACCTGCAGGAGTCATTGCTCACAGTACGTGGACACTGATGGACATCTCAGGCCATTTGCCATGATAGGAGGAATGAATCATGTCCTCTGCTGGGATTCATCCTCCTCCTCCAAAGGCAGGGAAAGGTGTTTGCCTTGTTTTAGTAGTGGTAGTGACAATGTTTGTGTCCAGCCTTGAAGAATGGCTCCACGATGCCTGAAGCAGCAGTGGAATCGCTCTGAACCAAGTGTTTGGTGAAGAGCAAAGAAACACCACCCATGCTCTCTGCAGCCTGCCTTCCAACTGCTTCCCAGCACCAAAGGCTTGCTGGTGCTCCCACTGAAGGTGTGAGCTAGCACAGCAGTGCTGGGCCATGGAGGGTGGCCTGTTGGTGGTTCACAGAATCACAGAATTTCTAGGTTGGAAGAGACCTCAAGATCATCGAGTCCAACCTCCAACCCAACACTAACAGTCCCCACTAAACCGTATCCCTAAGCTCTACATCTAAACGTCTTTTGAAGACTACCAGGGATGGTGACTCCACCACCTCCCTGGGCAGAGCCTGTCCCAGGAGCCTGTCCCAGGTTATCGAAGAGGTCTTCAGATGCTTTGTTTCCTATTCCCACCTACTGGAGGCACTGCTGTGGCTCATACCTTCTGCCCGGAGAAAAGTTCTTACTCTTTGTGTTAAACAGAAGTCACTTTATTTTAGTTTGGGAACAAGTCATAACCCGTAATTTGAAGACAGAACCATGTAATCATAGAATAACCCAGGTTGGAAGGGATCCACAAGGATCACCAAGTCCAACCCCTGGCTCCACACAGGACCACCCAAAAACCAGCCCATGTGTCTGAGAGCGCTGTCCAAACACTTCGTGAACTCTGGCAGGCTCAGTGCTGTGCCCACTGCCCTGTGGAGCCTGTCCCAGTGCCCGAGCACCTCTAGGTGCAGACCCTTTCCCTACCCCCTAGCCTGACCCTCCCCTGTCCCAGCTCCATGCCGTCCCCTCGGGTCCTGTCGCTGTCCCCAGAGAGCAGAGCTCAGCGCCTGCCCCTCCGCTCCCCTCGTGAGGGAGCTGCAGGCCGCCATGAGGCCTCCCCTCAGCCTGCTCTGCTCGGGGCTGAGCAAACCAAGGGACCTCAGCCGCTCCTCACACGTCTTCCCCTCCAGACCTTTCACCATCTTTGCAGCCCTCCTTTGGACACTATCTAATTGTTTTGTGTCCTTCTCATCGTGTGGTGCCCCAAACTGCACGCTGATAGCTGAATTTGCCATGCGCTTCCCTTCTGTTCAGCTGAGTCTTTGTGCATCCCGCCATGAGTTAGGCAGGGCAAATACAGCCAGACGAAACAGGGGCTGAAACTTGCCATCAGAGCCAGGTCTCATCACAGTCAGTTCCCAAGGCTGGAATTCAGTCATGGTGGAGTTGATAATAACACGCAGCAAAGAGCAGAGTCCTTTGCTGCCGTTGCTGAAAGCATGAAAAATACCATCTTAATTTAGAGACTTATTATGGCACATTATGGCAGGGCATGCCAATAAATGTGGAGCAAAGTAGAAGTGCTCTGCTACAGTATGTACTCTTATTGCAATAAGGAAAAGAAAAAAAAAAAAAAAAACAACTTCTGGAAATAGAGTTTCGAAAGAAGAAAGAATGTTCTGCTGTTTATTCAACAATAATAAAAAAAAAAAAGAAAAAAGAAAAAAAAGTGATGACATCCACACAATGCCCTCTCTTTAAAGTGGGTAAAAATAAACTAAAATGAAACAAGGCTCAGAAAGATACTTTTTCACCTCTTAAAAACTGTTAATCATCTCTGTGGCCTGCGGAATATTCCACTCAAGTGTTTTGTATCTTTTTTTTCAGATTTGCTTTTCATCATGCTTAATATGTCTGTTTTATCAAATTTCAGACTTAAAAATAACAAAGCTAACCACTGAAGAAACAGGCACCTCTAAATGGCATTCAGTGACTTTAATTTTTGTTGGATGAGGGAAAGCAGAAATCCCAGAGGACGTTACCATGAGCTTCGAACAAGCATGAGATGCTTGTGGGGTCCCTCTGGTCAGACCTGCCCCCTCTTTTTGGGTTTCTAATGGGGAAAGCAGAGGTGGGGAGCAGACCTGCTGGACCTGGTCATCTCAGCTTCAGCAGAACCATCATCTCTTGGTCCTCGTTGCCTTTGCCTTCACAGCAGACCAGGAAACAGGAATGGTGGATAAAATGCAGAGTGCAATGGCACCATAGGCTTCTGGCAGTTGGGGCTGGGGTTTTGTCAACCAGCATGTCATGTGAATCCATCTCTTGGTTTCTTAGTGAAAAACTATAGAAATCCTCAATTCAGGGGCAAACTATTGGCCTTTTTTTCTTTGTAGTTAACCAGTGCAGAGGTTATTCTCATGAGTTATAAACCATTCTCCAGCAGTGAAGGAGTGTTTGGGATTTCCAGCATTAATGCTTGTAAGAAATCATTTGGCTGTCACTAACGTTATGTAAATAGATGGTTCATGTTTATACTCCACAAAACACATTTACAAGAAAAAGGCTGACTAATTCAGAGGTCAGCTTCTAATTCAAGGTTAGCGCTCAACAGTTTTTTCTTGCCTGCCAAATAAAACCACTAAAGGCTAAATTAAAACCATGTGCTCTAACCTACCTTTATGCAATTACTGATATAAAGAGGGTGGAAGCAGTTTCGCTATCAAATTTAATGCCAATAAGGAGTACGGGGAAAAGTTGTCCTACAGAAGCTTTTGCACAAGGAAGTGAATCAAGACTGCCCTGCCTAGAAGGTGTGAAGTCCTCCAGCAGCTTTCAGTGGAGTGTCAGTTACGGACTGCAGGCTTCATTTGCCAGGAATCCAATGCAATAAATAGAAATTTAATCAGAAAAATCCTCCTGTTCTGCAGGAAGAGCTCTTGTTACAGGAAAACTCCAAAAACAAAGTGATCAACATGATGAAATTTGCCCTTCTTTTAGATGTCTGGATACCCCTATCTTTTTTTCACCTATCTTTTTTTTATCCCTATCTATATTTTTAACTTTTCAGGTCTAAATAAAACTCAAAGGTGGCCCAGCACCTTCTTAAAACATTTGGCCAGAGGAGAGTGGGAACATTCAGTTGGAGGCTGGGCAGAAGGTCAGTGATGCTACTCAGCCTCTGCCAGATGAGAAGTAGGGTGCTATGTTTCCATTCAGCCCTGTATGCAAACTCACAAGTGGTTTGAGGGGTGAAATCTGCCTGGCCCCTTCTCCCAATGCTCCCACGTCTAAGAAATATTTGGTCCGGGTCCGTGAATGTGTGACATGGTGATATAAACCACATGGTGATATAAATTCAAGTGCTGTTGAGTGGTGGGACCATATACGCATGTATGTGACTCCCATGTGCAGAGCCAGCCTAGCCATGAGCTTCCTGAGTCCTTGGCCACTGAGCTATGGGCCCTATTGAGATCGTTTATTCTTGTCACCAATCCCAAACACTTCTAGTGCTTACAGTTTTAGAGGAAAGTCTTAATTTCACTAATGGAGAGTTTAGTTGTGCAGCATTTGTCTCTGGAGCCAGACA